AAAAGATGTTCTTATTAGAGACAGAATTGTCCTTGGAATCAGTAACCTGAAAATACAGGAAAAACTGCTTCAGTATTCAGATCTGGAATTGAATGAAGCAATCAAGATAGCTAGATCCATGGAGAGCAGTGTAGCGACACAACGAGAAATCACAAAAGCTGCAGGTGATTCATCAAATGTAAGTACAATTCAAAAGCGATATTTTCATAATAATCAAAACTCTGGACAAACCTCAACAAGATACAACAACAAGAAAGTGTATAATCAAAAGTGTTGTAACCACTTCTGTGCGGTAGCTAATAGAAGTACTCCTGGAGTAGCTTCTGGCAGTGGGACTGTCAATTGTGGTAAGTGTGGCCTTTCACATTTGAAAAATAATTGTCCTGCATATAAACGAATTTGTTTAACTTGTGGACAGCATGGTCATTATAAGAAATTCTGTCCCAATTTTAATACAAGTAAACATGTTCATGAAGTCAAAATAGAGGAACAGTTTGTTGACAATCCATGTAATTGTAGTAATTTTTGTCAACCAGATCAGAACCAAAGTAATTTACAAGCCTCCAATTCAATTGATTCAACAGCTGATATTGTTGACAAGAGTGACTCGGATGGTGATGATGATTTCCAAGTATTATGGTCTATTACAGACAATGTTTGCTCAATAGAATGGTATGAAACGATAAATATAAATGGTTCAGGTGTTAATTTAAAAATTGATACTGGGAGTTCTGTAAATATTCTAAATTATCAAGATTTTAAAACTTTAAAGCTAAAGAATGAAATGCTCTTACCAGTTTCTTCAAAATTATTTTCATATTCTGGACATAACATTAATGTTTTAGGACAAATTTGTGTCAATTGTTGCTTCAATAATATCGATAGAAATTTGAGTTTCTATGTTCTAAGTAATGAAACACCTAAATCAATTTTGGGTCTTCCAGGTGTGAAAGCTTTTAAAATGATAAATAAAGAAATATACTCGGTAATACAGAAATCAAATATCAATAGTAAAGACATCCTAGATTTGAAAAGTATTGTAGATTTTCATAAGAGTGTTTTTGATGGAATTGGGAAAATTAATAAAAATTGTAAAATTATATTGCAAAACAATGCAGTACCATGTGTCAGTGCTTGCAGGAAGATTCCAATTGCTTTACGCGATAAAGTTAAAGCTGAGCTCAGTAAGTTAGTTTCTGAAAATATTCTTTTGCCTGTTGAAGAACCAACTGATTGGGTTAGCCCAATTGTAATTGTGCCCAAGCCTAATGGATCGATTCGCCTATGCATGGATCCAAGAAATTTGAATAAATATGTAAAAAGGTAATGGGGTAGTATACTATGTATAAAAATCAGTAAAAAAACTGCTCGACATTATTCTATAGGCTAAATGGTGATGGTATAGTGGGATACTAAATTATTTTCCAGCATATTGTCTATAGAATTAGTCAGAGAAAAACAAACTGTAGTTTGAATTTAGCGCCACAGCGGCGACCAATAGTAATCGAGCCACTGACCATCTGGCAACACTGCTCAAAATGCCCTAAAAATACTTCAACAGTTCAACGACGTGTGGTGTTCTGTGAATCGTGTGACATGTGACATTGTCACAATAACTTGTTTACGTTGTTTGATGTAGCAAATTTGACGCTTCCTTCTTGACGGTCAATGTCAGTGCAAATTGTGCGTTCTCAAAACCGTGATGTGTTGCCAGATTGGAAAAACTAACTACGTCACGAACTTTTATTTTCACCTAGTGGCGGGGCTAAGAGGAAATTTTGAAAAAGAAATTCCAGGCTATTCCGGTTTTTACAAAGCAACTGATTACACTAAATAGTACGATACGTCGAGTATATTACTACGTAGTAGTTAAAAATCACTTGTATACTATCCCATTGTGTCAAATTCCTACTACTGAATATTTATATTCAAAACTGGCTGGTGCCAAGTATTTTTCATTGTTGGATGCATCTTCGGCATTTTTACAAATACCATTAGATAATGAAAGTTCTCTTCTCTGTACTATAATAACTCCATAATGAAGATACAGGTATCTTCGTCTTCCTTACGGACTTAAGTCAGCTCCTGAAATATTTGAGAGATTCATTCAACAAACACTGGATGGTGTTGAGAGTGTAGTTTCTTATTTTGATGACATTCTTCTGTATGGTAGGGATATTTCTGAACACAATAAGAACCTTGACATAGTGTTATCTAAGATAAGAGCAACGGGTCTAACGCTCAATTTGGGCAAATCAAAGTTTTGTAAAAATTAAATTAAATTTTTGGGACACATACTTAATGCAGAAGGGATGTCTCCGGATCCAGTCAAGACTGAGGCAATTATTAATATGTTTTCTCCTACAGAAAAAAAAAGTCTTCAAAGATTTCTTGGCATGATTGTGTATTTATCAAAATTTATTCCAAATTTGTCTCAAGAAAGTACAATATTGAGAAAATTATTGAGTGACAAATTTGTTTGAACGTGGACCGCAACTGAAGAAGCCTGTTTTGTTCATCTAAAACAATTAGTTTCCTCAGCTACAACTTTATCATATTTTGATCCTAAAAAGAAAACTGTTTTAGCTGTGGATGCTAGTTCTTATGGAATTGGCGCCGTTTTGCTTCAAGATAATAAACCTATAGAATTTGCATCTGTGTCCCTAACCCCCACTCAACAAAAGTACAATCACATTGAGAAAGAGCTTTTGGCCTTAGTTTATGGATGTGAGCGTTTCCACTACTATCTTTATGGGCAAAATTTTGAACTTCACTCAGATCATAAACCTTTAATAGGATTATTAAAAAAATCATTAGATATATCACCCAGAATTCAAAGACTAACAATAAGGTTGCTCAGATATCAATTTAATCTCGTTTATGTTCCAGGAAAACAATTATCAATGCCAGACACTTTAAGTCGAGAGCCTTCTAGCAATTATATCAATACTAACTATTTAGAATCAAATCTGCATGTATATTCGGTTATTTCAACATCCAAAGAAAATGAAAAAAGATTACAGGCTGCTACTTCGAATGACCCAATTTTACAGAGGGTTAAATATTACACTCGAAACGGTTGGCCACAGCATAAAAATAACCTTTAACCTACGATCAAGCCGTTCTGGAATTTCAAAAGTGATATTTATCTTCACAAAGATGTCTTGTTCTACAAAAAAAGGCTTATTATCCCAGAATGTCTCAAATCTGAATTTTTAAACCTTATCCATCAAACTCATCAAGGTATTATACCCTGCAAGAGAAAAGCCCAAGAATCCATTTTTTACCCTGGATTAATGACCGACATTGAAAAAATGATTTTAACTTGTCCAACTTGCCAAATGTATGCCAAAAGTAACGAAAATGAGCCTTTGACTCCTCATAAACCACCAATGCTTCCTCGGCAAAAAATTGGAGTGGATTTTATGTTTGTGAAACCTCACAATTTCATAGTTATTGTAGACTATTTTCGCAAGTTTGTGATTGTCAATAAATTAACAACCAAAACCACAGATTCTGTTATTTCTTGTCTGAAGAATGTTTTTACAAATAATGGCATTGCTCAGGAAATTTTTTCAGAGAATGGTCCACCATTCAATTCTCATGAATTTCGACAGTTTGCAAAAAAATATAATATTGACTTGTCCACATCTAGCCCCAATCATCCCAAAAGTAATGGTATGATTGAAAGAACTATTCAAACCATTAAAGGCTTGTTCGTCAAAGCCATACAAAACAATCAAGATCCATTTTTATCGGTTTTAAGTTATAATACGTCTCCTAAGCAAAATCTTCCTGCACCCAGTGTACTTTTAATGGGTAGACAATTGAGAACAACACTTCCTGTGCCAACTGAAATCTTGCAACCTCAATATTTAGATTTTGAAGGCATCAATAAAAAATTAAAAGTCGCTCAATATAAACAAAAACGTTATTATGATCAAACTGCAAAAGAACTGGCAGATCTTCATCCTGGTCAAAAAGTGTTGTTACAAAACAAAGTGCGAGAATGGAAATTAGGTGTTATTATTGAGAAATTAGATTTCAATGATTATATTGTTCGAATAAACAATACCGATTATCGCAGAAACAGGCGTTATCTTAAACCCTACTTATCTCCGTCTAATGTGCCAACTGAGGTACCTTCGTTTGTACCTCTAGTCCAAAAAAATGTAAAGACTGATGTAAAGACTAACAATACCACTAGTGTTAGTGCTCCTATAAGTGATAACGATCGTGATGATATTGATCGTCATACTGACGTACCTTCACAAAATGAAGAATATTTTATAAATGATAAGTCATTTATGAAAAGTTCTCTAGAGACTTCTGTCGGAGCTCCTTGTGTTACTAAAAGTGGTAGAATTGTTAGGCCTACTAAAAGAATGAATCTTTAGTTTATAGTAGTTTATTTATATATTAGTTTGTAGATTAGTTATTGATATTTGGTATTTTATATTTGTCTTTTCCTTAAGGAAGGGCGTGTAATGTATTTGAGTACAACTGGTAACAACATGTCATTCTAGAGTTGCCCTTAGCTAGTAGTTATAGTTACTATGGTGTTTAGTCTGACGTGGTGTTGACAATGTGCAATTTAGATTAAAGATGTTGCTTTACATATCGGGTCTTCAAAAAAAAAAACAATCAAAGATTGCTATGGTTTTTTGAACGTAGGTCTTAGCAATATTTTTCTTTAATTTTGACAATCTCAGTCAATGAAATTTAATGTCAAAATGTCATGTCAAAAATCCTGACCAATAAACAAACAATAATGCGACGTATGTTTTCGTAACCAAAGCAATCTTTGATTGGTTTTTTTTTGAAGACTCGATATAAAGCTTATAGTTCTGTGTTCCAATAGAGTATTTGCCTTTAAGTGTTGTATCATTTAATCCTCTACACCCCATACACAACACAGACGAGCAAAGTGCTCAAACGAAAAAGAAGCGAGCCACGATATCGTATGTGGTTGCGAGGGATGGAAAATAAATTGTACCTACTTGAATAATTAATTTTTTATAGTAATATTTCAATATAATTCTGTCATACAATAATTAGAATCGGAATCGGTTTTTTATAAATTTCAATATTTAGTACATAAATTACAAAGCAGAAACGGCAGCTCTTAGGATAGAGTATTTATTTTGAGTGCAAACTCCCCTGAAGTCATCCAAAGTTAGATCATCGACGGCAATTCCGGCCAAACCTGAAAATAAAGAATCAAATAAAATATCCCATATCCATAAGTTATAGAAATAAATTCAATCTGAAGCGGCACAAATTGATTTGAATAAGTGCATATAAATAAAATACCTTTGCTTCTGACATACGCAGCTTTATTGGCTGCTGCAGATGGGTCTTCATAGGCAATCCAAATACCATCTTCATCTTTTTCTGGATCCTTTGGCTTGTAGGCATAAGATCCTAAAATATTAATAAACATGTAGGTACCTAATATAATTTTGTGCCTATCTTTAATTTCATTTGGACAGTATGTTAAACTGAAATATAAAATAAATAAAAAAAACACATAGATAGTTAGTTGTAGTTGTTAATGTTAAATAAAATATAAAATATGTCGAAGAAAGATTTTTTTTGCTGTTTGCTCAATAAAGAAAAAATAATCAATGTACTATTTCATATTATATACCTCTTCTATTTGTTGAATCTGGAATCTTTCTATATCCTGATGGAGATACGTTTCCAGTGCCTCCTTGTACTCTTACGCAAATTTCTGGGTAACTCAAAATTCCTGCATCTTTGGTCAATGGGCCCGCAGGACCAGGGCCATCGAGACCTTCTAGTGGAACAGTTTCCACATTTGAATCTGCCTCAAGTTTCCAAGTCCTTCCATATGTCGGAATACCCAGTATTAATTTGTTCGCTGGGAAGCCATTACTCAACCTAGATTATCGAAAATTAATTATCCAAAAATTGTATTATTTTAATTTTCATTATTGAGATTCACTAACCAGTATTTGACCCAAGCATCAGCGTTCTCATCTGTTCTTCTATCGATAAGCTCGTAGAGAGGAGCGGGAAAATCGGCAAGTTTAGGGTTACGTTGTGGCGTATAGAAATCGAAGGCATGAAGCGTCACAAAATCTACGTGGGGAGCAAGTGCTCTGGGGTCGTAATACACTAAATCAAGAAAAAATCTAAATATTATAGTCATCAGATATTGGGGAATTTATTATGATTATGCCATTCTACGAATAGAGAGTTAAATGTACAGAAGTTTATTTTGTTTTTACGTACCAGTGCTGTTTACATTCGGCAAAACAGTCAATGACACCAAAAAGTTATCAGGCTTGAATGTGTTTTTCAGTTCTCTCACAAGTGCTGTGAACTGATCCCTATGCTCCTGAGCGTTTTCATCAATCACAGAATCCCCAGTAAAAGTTTTCTTGACAGATGACCAGAATTTTCCTAAAATTAAAACATGTATCTTATTGTTATTCCTTACATACATCAAATATGGAAGAGCGAACAAGGATGTCCGCGTGACTAACTACACTCAAGTTGACTAACATATTGCCCTATACTGCAGTCTCTTGATTCGCCCTATAGCTCTTGTCATAGAGCTTGAACATTCTGTTTGCAGTTTGATCAACAGTTTTTGTAAAACTTGTGAAATTACCAATGAGAAGAATATCGATCGATAATTTGTTTGCTTCTCACAATATGTTTTCAAAGAAAGTATGGGCATTTGGGTCATATTAAACATTATTTATGATAAAAAAGATCCATTTCTCTGTTTGTTCAATATTAGATGAATATTTGTTATTATTAAAGCATTTAAGATTTGATCTCTTTTGAAGATACTTGTTTCATTACCAAATTATAGCTAAAAGCTGTATGTTTTCTATGTCATATACATGCCCTGGTCTTAAGTTAAAAAAAATATTTTTACAAAATTGCATCAAGAGCCCCGTCTGAATTCTAGGAACCCATGTTTATGCCTAGAGCGCGCATATCCTAGAAATTTCGTTGTACCTATTTGAGAAAACAAGGCTTGTAGATAAATCTGGAAGACAATGTCGGATATAAATAGCTCGCAGTTACACAGTTGTAGTCAATTCTGATAAGAGTTGTTATAGTCAGTTTAAATAATTGTTGTGTACGGTTTGATAAAACCGACAAGAGAGTTGTTATAGTTATAATAATTCGTGGATCCCAGCTTGTAGTCTGGTTTAGGGCCTTCCATGTGCTCAGCGTTCCTGGTATTCTAAGGATCTATCATGCGAGATCGAGAAAAATGCGTAACCAAGATGTTCAGCGCCTTTTTCATGGAAGCAGTCACATAGAAGCAGTATAACTCCCCATGGCACATTTAACACCCAGTCTTCGTGCATGGATCTTTTTTTAGTACTTTGCAGCCTATAGATGCTGGGAATATCTTTGATGCCCTCTACGTGTTCCTTTGTGAGATCCTTAGTTCAGTCTGGCGTTGATGTGTCTTGTTTCAAGTACTTTTGACGTTGCCTCGAAACTGAACTTGACGTTTCTGTGTACTGACACTCGGCAGGAAATTCCTCGGCATATTCCTTTGATGCATACTATGACTGACTGTCGCCCTGTTGTAAAAAAAAGATGGGACCTACCAATCAATAAGATCAAATATCTGGCAAGAATGTTCATTAAATTCCATGAACTTCGTTTGAAGACAGAGATACCATCGCAAATCTGCACATGCAACCTACCATGTGCATCCAGGAAATCATTCATTATGAATTTACTGATCAAGAAAATTTGAGATATTTGAACTTTATCTGATCGGTTATAGAGAACTCCAGATTTGGGTAGTGCACTTCATACAAACATGTGAGAGTTTCATATCTGTATCAGGATTGAACTGCTGCTGGTCGTTGTTATTTGGCTGGCAAGTGTTAAGTTCGAATGTATGTCGGAATCTCAACAATTGAGGGCTATAGTTGTGACAAATATTTCAGTATGTTCGGTGATTCATTTATTAAACAACACGATTTATCTATACCATTTCCAAATCCAAGCGGCAGTAAATGACAAACTGGTCATTTTCATTACAACCTATCAAATGTCCTGCGTGCATGCGCACCGGTCCAGGTAGGGCGTTTCAACCAATAGGAAGGCTGGTGTTTGTTTACAATTTAGGTTATTAAATGTCATTTACTGCCGCTTGAATTTGGAAATGGTGTAGAAATGGAACTCTTATATTGTTGATGCAATGATTTCACGTTAACTTTTTTGTGGATCAAATTTGACCGCGTATAGAAAAAATGCTCCAGTTTATAAAGGTTATATTAGTTTGTTTGTTTGCATGGCTGTTAAGGCAATTCATTTAGAGTTGGTGAGCTCTTTGTCTACAGATCATTTCCTACAAACTTTCAAACGGTTTATTCCACGGAGAGGTCCGGTTAGAGCGCTCTATTTGGATAGAGGGACAAATTTTGTAGGCGCTAAATCGGTTCTGAAAGATTTAAATAAATTGATTAGTTCCCCGGAGTATAAAACCGCCTTTGAAACCGAACTTGGAATTCACGGAATTGAGTGGCATTTCAATAGTCCTTCAGCACCTGAACAAGGAGGACTGTGGGAAAGCAATGTGAAGGCTGTTAAGAATCATATGTATAGAGTTATCGGGGAACAATTGCTAACGTATGAGGAGTTTGCAACTTTACTTACGGAAATCGAGGCTCTGTTAAATTCACGACCTTTGTGTCAGTTATCGACTGATCCAACGGCACCAGAGGCCTTAACCCGGCACATTTTTTAACTTTGACGCCTTTACTCGGTTTTCCTTCTGCAAATGTAACTAGTGTTCCTTTAAATCGTTTAGATCGATTTCAATTAATCGATAGGATGGTCCAAGATTTTTGGAATCGCTGGAGGGTGGAGTATTTGAGTAGTTTGCAAATCCGTAAAAAATGGAATAATCAAATGTCTAATGTCAAAGTAAATACGGTTGTGATTTTGAAAACAGATAACGCACCACCGTTACATTGGCCATTAGCTATAGTTACCGAAGTGCACCCAGGCAGAGACAGAGTCGTGCGTAATGTGACTATCAGGACAAGTAAAGGCACTTTCACAAGACCTGTGTTAAAGTTGTGTCCACTGCCAACACAGTAGAAGTATTAGTTTCGGGGATTTTTGGTTTTAGAATATTTTTTTTTTTTTATACTTATGGGTAAATAATATTAATTGTCGTTCATGGATCTAGAATGCAAGATCTATTTGAGATATTGGGGTGGGTTGAACAGAATTGATTTCAATTTTGATCATTTATTTATTTGATTTTTATACAAATTAAATACCTATTATTATTTTGTGCTATTATTATTATTGATTTTTTTTTCTCAAGGTTGACTGAAAGAGGTACGGTTTTCAGGGTCGGGGGTATGTTCCCGCACCTATAGATATATATTAGTAAGAATAGTTAGAATATAGTCTGGCAACATTGCATTCTCAATTTGCGACAAACTAAAAGATTCAATTTAACAATTATTCGGAAAATAACTACACAGCGGTGTGTATTGCGGCGGGCGGGTTTTTTAAACAATATAATTGCTAGGCCGAAAATCCTAGCTGGTCCTTAATTCGAGCTTATCAGTGAAATCACTCAACCCTTTGATATCCTTCTCTCCTTCCTCTTCTAAAACCCAAATTTTACCGAGTGAAAAAGATCTGGAATCAAAGGATTGGATTCTCACCAACAAAACCGGTGAGTATAAAACCTTAACCATATAAAAGTGATTTCATTTTATTTATCAACTGAGTAACGAGGGAACAATAAGTAATCAATATATACTTACCAAAACCACTCTTTATTTTCTTGGCTTTTGTTTCAGGCAATTCCCAAGCTAAATCTGCGCCATCAAAGCCGTAACCTTTGACTATAGTATGGAGTGAGTTGATGAAAGCTAATCGATGGGCAGAAGACTCTAACTGTAATAAAAAATAAAGTAATATGAAGCCTCCTTACATAAAACATGTAGTTCATGCATCATTTGAAACAAAATTAAATGTTTCAGTAACATTGTATTGGATTGGAGATTTGATGATATATACCAATAATCTAACAATAATAACGCGCGTAGGTTTTGCCAGATTCCCTATCGGGCGCACCCCCTTCTAGAGGTGGAGCTTTTCCACTTATCAGAGAAGGACAGACGAAGAAATGAAATAGGTTTCTAGGTAATTACAGTAGAGTAGAACATAACATGGCACCCAATTATGAAAAGTGAGATGGAATAGTAAGAATCTCACCAACTACCAAAGCTTAAACAACTGAACAAATACTTGGGCATGGTTTACCTACAGATCGCAGCAAGCACAAGAGGTTCAAGCAGAAGCAAGCCAATCGACAAGAAATGATAATTAAAGACATGAACCTAGAAAAAATGTCTAATATCTAAATATAGCAATACCATCGAACTACAACATCACTCAGAAAAGAAAAAACAGATAAACGTCTTATAATTATACAAATACCTGCAAGTCGAAATAGAAAGAATTTCGAACCATGAGGACCAAAACCATTCCAAATTCAATAAGAATGCAACATGTGAAACAATGAAAGATATATTTTGGAAATCCTTTGCGCAAGCAAAAGGCAGTTGTGTTAAATATTGTACATACGATGCATATCAACCAGCCAGGGTAATCCTGATGCACAGTGCGAAATTCCACTTTCTGTAAGCGTCAGTAAATCTGACATTTTCGTAGAACACATTTCATTGGTTTTTTTGAGGTTTTTAAATGAGTTTCAGATGGTGATTAGAGACTATAATAGTTGGTTTCATCGATTCCTCCTTTGGATGTCTTGTTAAATGGGTCTTTCCCACTCAACTGAATTTGAGTATTTCATTCATAATATGGTTGGAAGCTTATCTGATAAAATACTTAAAGGGCTATGTGGTTGATTTTTAAAAAAATTATTGAGGGAGATATTAAAGGAAAAAAAATGGTAATATTTGAAATAGTCCGCCAGATTTTGCACCAATCAAAACGCGCTTAGTTGCCCGATTTACCGGCCGAAGCTGTTCCCTATCGACATGTTTTCTTTCTAGTTGAATGAACAAGATAGAAAAGGAATAAAAATATCGACATAAATGCGGTTTATCGATTTCTATTCCAGTCTATTTATTTGACAATTGAATTCTAACCTAAAAGGGTACCTTTTGTAAATAAAACATTTTCAAAGAGTGAAGACTGTTGTGTTCAAATCAAGGTTAAAATTGAAAGTTGTGGAACGTGGAACAGATATTCGAAATTGGAAAGGTGAGATTTATTTTGTGTTATTTTTCACCAACAGAACTACAGGGTGTCCCAGGGAAAACAGTCCACCCCGATTTATTTGATTTGGGAGGAGAATCTGGGAAAACGCTCGGACACGTTGAGAAGAACCACCTATTAAAATATTATTTTTCCAAATCATAAATTTTTAAAAAAAGTTTTACGTAATAAAAGTAAATATTGCAACCATGTAATGCGCCCTCAAGTTTAGATTTTTCCAAACGGGACGCGCCGCAACAGAGTACCGAAGCGAAGAGGAGACATAAGAAAATAAGCAATTAGGCTTTGGAATGGAGAACGCGCTAGACTGGTCCCTTAGAAAACGTGTTGCGCGTCTGTAATTATTCATTTTTCAATTTTCATTCCTATTTTGCATTAAAATTAATTGTTCAATTCAATTTGTTATTAGTGTGTGTGTGCAAGGAGCGTACAGGTTAGTGGATTAATTATTATTTGGTTTTTGAGAGTTCAATTTACGCAAGTACAGTAGTGTCTCAATAAATGTACTCTGTAATCAGGATTTTACTTGATTAGGTAATCCGAATTCATTCACATGACTCTTGAAAATAAAAGCACAGGTTTTCACTTGTCGTTTTGTAACTGTGTTCAAGTGAATAGGTAGTTTTTCACATGTCTACACGCATCATTTAATACGCGGCGTCCTTCCTGACTGTGTGGGTTTTTTTAAAGAAAATGGAACCTATTAAACGCAAATACAAAACTTTAAGTCTCAACGAAAAGTTAGCGATTATAGACGAGCTTTCAAATAAATATAAAGTTTTTTTGCTTAAATACGGCATGTTATTTTTTCAAAATAGTTTTAAAAGCGAACTGTAAAATGCCTTAGTAATCCGAATAATTTGATAATCCGGAGTGGTCTGGTTTTAATTGATCTGGATTATCACGACACTACTGTATTATTTTTTTTCTTCCAATTTTTATGTTTTTTTGTTTGTTTATAACAATTTTTTATAACATGTGCATTGTTTATGCATTTAACCAAAATCGTTTAATACTGTAAACAACACAGCTAAAGAGTAAATTAAAACCTAAGAAATTATGTGCTGTATTTTGTGCTAGGATTTTGATTTTTGGATTTAGAGCGTGCATTAGAGCCTTGTTGAATTTACTAAAATTTTCCTACCCTGACGAGAGAATATCCTAACAAATTGAAATAATCAATCTAGAGATATTGGCTCAAAAACAACTATAGCTGAGTAGCTTCCCGTATGGGACCTCAGTACCTGCTGGGAAACTGGCTAACTAACCAAAAAACTCTTCAGTTTGGAATATAGGTAGTGTTGATTGAATGTTGAGTGTGTAATTGAAATTTTAGCACAAGAACAGGGACGGTACCTAATTTGAACTTTTATTGACCTAAATTATTGTATTAATGACTCACAATGATTATTTACCTAAAATGACACAGTATGTTTCGATTTTTGGGAAATCGAGGTTTTCTCTTCCGTTCTCTTTTTCCTCGTTAATTCCAAGTCGAGAACGGTACGTTTTTCTTTGAAAATAAAGGAGGCGTTTCACAAATTTTGCGTTTCTTTTACATATTACAGCTTCCCTTAAATTTCCAAAATATTTGCTATGTCGGGCGCATGTCCAGTAAGTAAATTTGAGTAAGTATCCACAGCGTAGGTCCTATTTGTTTCTCATTTAATTTTTCAGAAGATTTGTTGTTTAAAAGGTAATAAAAATTCGAACCCGGGTATGTTATATTACAACGTCGATGTTTGATTTGAGGGGAAACTATTTTTCAGTTTTTTTCATCCCCGTAGCATCAACCCATTAGCTAGGGGGAGAACAACACCCCAAATTTGAATAGGGAATAGGGTTCGTGTCATACCTCTTTTTAAAGGTATCATTGAGTTCTTCATGGTCCCAGAATTTCATCTTAATATTTTTATCCGTAACGAAATGACAGCTTGTCAAAATCTTGAAAATAGACTATTGTTTCAGTAGGAGTAAAAGCGGTACTCACCTCCCTTAATAAAAATACTTGTAAAAATACCTACAATTTACAATTCTCGTGTACACCTCATTAATAATAATAATAAAAAGCTTCAATTTCAAGTATCTTTATTAAGGGAGATAAGTATCGCTTTTACTCCCACTAAAACTAATGGTCTATTCCCAAGATTTTGACAAGCTGTCATTTCGTTACGGATAAAAATAATGACACGAAATTCTAGGGCCATGAAGAACTTGACGAGACCTTTAAAAAGAGACATGAAATGACCCCTATCCCCTATACAAATTTGGGGAGTTGTTCTCCCCCTAGCTAGGAAGTTGACGCTACGGAGATGAAAAAAAGTGAAATATAGTTCCCCCTTAAATCAAAAATCAACGTGTCCGAGCGTTTTTCCAGATTCTCATCCCAAATCCAATAAATTGGGGTGGACTGTTTTCCCTGGGACACCCTGTATATCCAAAGTAGGTTCCTACCTACTTCTACTAAGGTTTATTTTGGTTTTTAGATTAGCAAAAGCCAAATTAGAATATACTGTTTAGTTATGTACAACTGAAGACTAAAAAGAGAATGCCAACAGTGTACCTACTGTTCAGTGTAGAACTGTACAAGAACCCCAGAACACAAAAGTACATAAGAGCAAATAGGAGTCACGGCTGATGAAGCAAATAAACAAACAAATAATAGCATTGTGAGCTGAGAATATAGGTAAAGATTGTGTTGACAGAGAACTCCATTGGGCCCGAAAAACGAAAATCTCACTTGTATGTATGTGTAGGTACTTACATACAATGAATATGATCTAGATTCATTTGAATTTTGTCACTTAAAAACACATTTTTTTATAGAATTACTAGCTGACCCGGCGTACTTCGTACCGCCTCTGAATTACTAAATACCTATTAAATGTTGTGTTAACGTATCTAGTAGCTGAATTAAATTCAGGTCAAACCAGTGAGTTCAGTGACGCATTTTAAGAAGCACTCAAGAGCTGCTCTAGAGAGTTTCGCGCAACTGAACTTTTTTTTTCGGAGTAAAAAATAGCCTATATCACTCCCCTCTACAGCCGAATTCGATTGACCGGATTAGATCGATCTGGTTCAATTTAAGTGAACCACACTGTGTTCAATTGAGGTTGGATAAGTGCACTCTCATCAACAAAAAAATGATCTAGATCAGAAGAAGTTCACTTATATTGAACCCAAATCGATCTAATCTAGGTCAATCGAATTCGGCTTATACATATAGAGATACGTGGTATTAAATTCAAGATTGGTTCAGTCGTTCTCGAATTCAAAAAATAATAAAGTTACGTCAGTTAAATGGCAAGCCTAAATAAATGAAATGTGGCAACGTTGTTTCATGTTGTCAAAAAAAAGTTGGGTTATGTTGTTATGTAATGTGAATAAGTTTGTTCATAATTAAATTAATAATTAATTCAAAATTAATTTCTTTTTCCGAGATGCGTAACCTATCCACAAACCTTCCTTGGGATGGCCATAACAACCTACCAAAGTTTCATCGTAATCGGATAAGTGGTGTCGGAGCGCATAAGGCGCAAACATGCAAGCAAGCAAACAAACATTGATTTTTATATATATAGATAATAGCGCTTTCGACTTTTGTCTCAAAACTGCTCCCGATTGATCAAAAAGCGATCCGAAACGGATTC